GGGAGGCTGCTGCAGCCACCTCCGTCCCCTGCTTGAGTGTTAATGCCTTTCGCAGGGTTTGGTGGCAGGGTGAGTGCCCGTGGCAAATGGAGAGGCTGTTCATGGAGTTAAAAAGTGATAATTATATACGTATATGAGGTGTATATACACGCATATATAAAATAATGAAGAGAATTATTATATGGACCATGCTGAAAGACGTGGGTTGTGATAGCACAGAATATCTGCAAAATCAAAAATGCAAACCCAGACCTGATAGTGAGTTTGAAAACTCGGGAAATCAGGTTTTAGAGGCAAAAATGCCATTTTAGCTCTTACAGTGCAGTCTGCCTTCTTGCCCTGTGAGTGTGCCTGGGCTCTGTCTCAGCATCCGCATCCCCTGGGCCCTAAGGACTGCAGGACATGGGGCGCAGCAGATCTGATGTTTCAGCATCTTCATCTCCTTTTTGGGGGGTGGGAATGGGGAGATCGTGGCACATGGCACTGCCTTTCCCTGCTCATGGGTCTCTGCTTGGCACAAAGCACTTCCCAAGAGGAGGCAGCAGCTGTCCTGCGGGGATGTCTGGGTGGTCTGTGAGCCCCTGGAAAGGAGGATGGTGCTTGGCCAGTGCTGCTCAGTCTCTGCACAGGTTACAGTGAGCAGAAAACAGTGACAATATGAAAAGCAACAAACTTCCCGTGCAATTGCCTACAGGGAATATTCCCTGGAGATGGTCCAGAGGCAAGCGAGGATGCCATAGCAGCTGGGATTCCTGAGGCAGGTGGCACTTGATGTCAATGTAGAAGAAGAATTCAGAGTAGTTTGTTAAAATGGAACCTGTTGATGTCATCAGGGAAAAGGGCAGAGCTCCCTTTACCTGATACCCAAGTTCGACAGTGTGGCACTGCCAATGGACCTGACTTGTCCTCTTCCCATGGTGCCAGAGACTCTTGTGGTAAGGAAGGAAACTGGCCACTCCACACTGCCCAGGTCTTACTCGATCTCCTGGCCAGAACGGGACTGTATCCTGGGCTGCATCCAAAGCAGCGTGGGCAGCAGGTCAAGGGAGGGGATTCTGCCCCTCTGCTCTGCTCTCGTGAGACCCCACCTGGAATACTGTGTTCAGCTCTGGAGACCCCAACACGAGACGAGAAGTGCGTGGAGCTGTTGGAGCAGGTCCAGAGGAGGCCACAAAGATGATTGAGGGCTGGAGCACCTCTGCTATGGAGACAGGCTGAGAGAGTTAGGCTGTTCAGCCTGGAGAAGAGAAGGCTCCAGAGAGACCTTCTAGCAGCCTTCCAGTACCTAAAGGGGCTACAAGAAAGCTGGAGAGGGGCTTTGGACAAGGGCGTGTAGTGACAGGAGAAGGGGCAATGGCTTTAAACTGGAAGAGAGGAGATTTCAATTACATATAAAGAAGAAATTTTTTACAATGAGGGTGCTGAGGCACTGGCACAGGTTGCCCAGAGAAGTTGTGGCTGCCCCATCCCTGGAAGTGTTCAAGGCCAGGTTGGATGAGTCATTGAGCAACCTGGTGTAGTGGAGGGTGTCCCTGCCCATGGCAGGGGGGTTGGAACTAGATGATCTTGAAGGTCCCTTCCAACCCAAACCATTCTGTGATTCTATGATTCTATGACAGTGTCATCCTCCCTTCCATTCAGGGTCGTAGTGTCACTGTTCCTGTCATCTCATGGAAGTGCTCACCTCCTAGGGAAAAACCAATGGCACCAGCTCAGTGTTCCATTTCCAGTGAGATGCAGGCTGTTAAACACAGGCTGCTCTGCCAGAGCCCTCCCAGCCCTGCCGAGCACCAGTCTCCCCTGAGCACCAGCCCCCAGCCCACGCTGCTCCCAGCTAAGCTGAGCACAGTGCTCGGGATGGAGCAGAGCATGTTGGGGCACTCGTCTGTGCTCACGGTTGGCTCCATGTCATTGAGCATGTTAATTAGAGACATTTTACACTGGAAATGCACACAGCTCCCAAGGGCCTGTCTCTCTTCGCTTGGTTATTAACAAACGCTAGAAGCAACCACAGACACGTCTAGGAAGAGATTCATAGCAGATACCTTTATCCAAAAAATGGATACTCAGAAGTACCAGACTATCTCACCTTGCTTCCATAGGCAGAAACTGATCGAAGCAGAATTTCAGAGAATATAGATTAAAAGCTCTCCAAACCTGATAGAAACAGGAACCAATGGAAGTTCATAGATTTTTCTCAAACTGGTGTTGAGAGTTGAGACAGCCCTTATCCGTGTTTTGACGGCAGCGTGTCATCTGGGAACAGCTGATTGGCCTGTGCTGGTTTTTGCTATGCAAAAGCTGTCTCGCATGTGCATGGAGAGAGGATTTCAGGTGTTAGCAGAGAAAACTCTCAGCATTGCCTTGTTGTCGGTGCAAGTGTGTTAGGAAGTGGGTGCTTTCTCCGCGATTCAGCTTTTTCTTTCTTCTTAGTCCTTAATATTAAGCAGATTCATCCTGCTTAATATTAAGGACTTGCTAAAACTGCCAGTGTTGGAGTTGGGAAGACCCCCTTGGACCTTCTCTTGGACCTTCCCCCTTGGGAAGGTCCCCAGAGATTTGCTGATTCTCGTGCAGGGACTGCCTGTTCACCCCAATGACCTCTCTCCTGCTGAGCTGCTTGGTTAAATTGCCTAAATTTGGGCTGCATGACAGCCCCGTGGAAACATGGGTGCACACAAATAATTCAACGAGACCTTAATGCGTGGGTGTCTGGCACAGGGGGTAGTTGAGCATGAAGGGGAGCTCTGCAAGGCAGTTTTAGAGGGGCTGGGGGCTGTTCTCTGCCCACAGCAGGGGGGTTGGAACTAGATGATCTTTCAGGTCCCTTCCAACCCAAACCATTCTGTGATTCTATTTATAGAGGTTATTATCTGGAAAGGTTTCCTTTTTCCTTATCCTGATTTTCTGAGAAGGCAGAAAACATCCTGCTCCCCCAGGCAGCATTGCAAGGGTGGGAGTCCAAGGAGGAATACCATGCCATGCTGGTCCTGGGTGGGATATAAGGAGCTGGATGCCGGGAATGGAGCACATGTGCTGCAAACATGCATAGTGGTGATTTAAAGGCAGCAATGTTCACGCCGAGAGAAACTCAATTTATCGGATTGATAGCTTGGGAGCCTGACTCTATTAGTGGCAAAGTAAAAAGAAAGCCCAGTCATTTTTGTCTAACAACCTTGTTTTCCCCTTTTCAGAAGAATCTGACAGAGCTGAGGTCCTTCGGGTCGCCGCCTTCAGCCGTCAGTAACGTCACCGCGGCCGTGATGGTGCTGACGGCTCCGGGAGGAAAGATTCCCAAGGACAGGAGCTGGAAAGCCGCGAAAGTCGCCATGGCCAGGGTGGATGGCTTCCTGGACTCCTTGATCAAGTTTGACAAGGAGAACATCCACGAGAACTGCCTCAGAGCCCTTCAGCCTTATTTACAAGATCCCAAGTTTAAACCCGAATTCGTGACCACCAAGTCCTCCGCCGCGGCCGGGCTCTGCTCCTGGGTGGTGAACATCGTGCGTTTCCACGAGGTGTACTGCGACGTGGATGCCGAAGCGGCAGGCTCTGAGCAGAGCCAACGCCGAGCTGGCAGCTGCCCAGGACAAGCTGGCCACCATCAAGGCCAAAATCGCCGTAAGTGCTTTGCCCTTCGCTGGGACTCGTCGTGCCAGTCGCTGCACGCGGAGAAGTCCTCCGCTTTGGAGAAAGCTGCTTCTCTGCATTCATGTCTTCTTCATTTTAGTCATTCATTTTAAAGGTAGGGTGGGAATCCAGAGATTCAGGAGATTATAGTTTTTTCTATCCCTTTTATTGCTGCTTTCTACATTTCATCTATTCTTCTCCAGCCTTGCATATACCTTAAGAGGAAGGCTAATTATCAATTCTTATAATTCCTATCTAATTTTTAAAATGTAATTTGCCTCTACTCATGGGTCCTCAGAAAACTCGTTAGCTCAAAGCAGCGTGTTCCTGGTGTGCTGCACGGCGGCAGGGAAGAGGAAGCGGAGGCTGAGTTCGGAGTGCTGGTAGCACAGTGCTGGGCTGGACCGGCTCCCCACGCTCAGGCCCTGGTGATGGGCATGTTTGACAGGATGGTGACTGCTCTAGTAGAAGCCTAATAATTTGTCACAGCACAGCTCCTGGTCAGCATATCTTGTGCGTTATCTTTATCTAGAGTTTTGCTATTTCAGAAAAAAAAATAATTTAAGAATCATTGAATAAAAGAAATTACTGTGTGATTAAAATCACATTTCTACAGAGAGTAGCTTCTAGCCTTTCTCCTTTTCCTTTGGAAAATTATCTCAGTGTTAAAAGACATAATGCTTTTCTTGCCCCCTCCCTCCCTGGCCAATACCCCCTGGCCCGGGGGACCCCGCCAGCCCGTCCCTCAGCACAGCGTCCCCGTCCCATCACTCGTGTTCTCCGGGTCCCTCCTGGTGCCACCGCTCGCGCCCCCAAACCTGCCTTTTCTGAATGTGCTGTGGATCCAGGTCCCTGTCTGTGAGTGATGGGTCCTCTGTGGCTGCACTTTTTGTACTGACACCCCAATTTGTGTAAAATCCCCATTAATAACCGCGCTGCGCTGGCAGCCGGGCTGCCGGGTTTGTCTTTAAACAAGTGACTGGGAGAGCTGCACCTGGAGCGGGGCAGCCCAGTCCCTCCAGCTGAGCTCGTCCCAGTACTCACCTCTTCTGCCAGCACACCTTCATGCTGGAAAATACGTAATACTCTTCTGATGCCTCCTAGGGCTTATTGTTCTTAAAATGCTTACTACACGTTTTAACTACAAATATAAAAAAGATTTCCGGAGCTCTCCAGGAGCCCCTCCTGCTGCAGATGAAAGGGGGGCGGGCACAGCACCTGGAGCAGGGATGGATTTAGAGGTCTCGAGCCGCTGGTTCTCCCATCTCAGATGTGAAATACGCTGCTGGGGAACTTCTTTCATCCCTTTTATGCAGCTCATTTCCAAAGCTTTTAATACCCGAGCTTTTTATTTTTTTTCTTTCTTCTTTTTTTTTTTTTTTTTTAAAGAAGTGGGATTTTGTTAAAGAAAATGGCAATCTTTGGGGAGATTACTGGTACTGGCTGGCACGCGCTTACAAAACTGACTGGTTTAGGTGAGCTTTCCCCTCTGCAGAGGGGTGATGATACACTGCTGAGCGTGGGGGATGTGGAGGTATATCCTTGCTTATCAGGCTGAGACATCTTGAATCGCTTCCCTGACAGGAGGCTGATTCATACCTGCTCACAACCGGCCCCGAGCTGCCACATTCCCATTTTTAGTAATAAATGAAACTATTCTGATTGTCAAAAATACCAAGTACCATCCTCCCTCCTTCACATGGGAAATCAGGTTGCTACGAATCTGAGGAGGGTGGATGGAAAAGCAAGATGTATGCTCACAGTTGCACACAGATGTATTTGTCTGTTCCTGTAGGGTGTACCTGGTGCGTACTGCAGGTTTGAGCTGTTCTTCACAGCTCATCAACTCGTTTATCAGATTGTGCTTGTGTAACGAGATTTTCTGTATATGAGCCTATGTATGCACATACATTCATATGCACGCAGAGACCGAAACTCTTTGTGTTATTAATGCCAAGGCAGGTCGAGGAGAGACTGCTTTGTGTTTCCCAGTATCCAGGAGAGCTGCAGATATCCCGAATACAATCCTTTTTCATTTCCAGGTTTGTTTCTAGCGTGTGGCTCAAACGGTGTTGAAGTGACTGACAGGCAGTTCAGCCTGAAGCAGTTTGCACGGGGTGCCGATACAATCAGTTATTACTTCTACTTCTCTTATCAGAACTGAAATGCTCCAAGTGCTTGTGGGAGCCCTTGGTTTGTTTCAGACGGGAGTGTGAACAGCTCTGTCCAAGCAAAAGGCTCTTTTTCTTTTTCTCCAGGTGGTTTGGGTCCTTTCTGCCCCTTCTCGGCCCCAAAGCACTTTGCAGCCGACCTGCATGTAGGATGGTCCCACTCAGTGCTGGTTGGGCTCCTCTGCACGTGTGTCCCATGGCACATGCTCAGGCAGCTTTGGGAGCAGAAGAACTTTATTGACTTATTTGTCATACTGCTTTCTGGAAATAGGGTGCAGGAGGTATGGCTTGGAGATGGTGCGGGCTTACCTCCAGCTGCTCAAGGAACGCCTCGGGGGTTTGAGTGACCTGGTGAATCAGCAGAGCCTCAAAGACTGGACTGAGGCCAAGGGGGCTGCAGCATCAGAGAGCATAGGATTCTGGGTTTTTAGCTGCCCTGCTCATTGCTCAGCCATAGCACTGGTCATTGGTACTTGGCAGTAAGGACCCCCTTTCCCAGTTTAAATTCACACCAGGACAGAGCCTCAGATAAATCGCTTTTGTGTGTTCTTTGCCTCTGCCCTGCACCGAGGATGTGAGTTACAAGCACGTAGATTAGCAGAGCACACCCTGGGTGCCAGCCCGGGCAGCACGAGCTGTGCTGGAGCTTGGCCAGCCCTGCCCAAAGGGTGAATCATCTCTGGAGAAGGGTTCTCCTTAAAACTGTGCTGTCGTTTTCTCTTTTTTTTTTTTTCATGCACAGCGCCTCAATGAGAACCTGGGAAAGCTCACAGCCAAGTTTGAGAAGGCCACTTCAGACAAACTGAAATGTCAGCAAGAAGCTGAAGCTACAGCGTGTACCATCGCTCTTGCAAATCGACTGGTGAGTGTCAGCAGATGCGACTCCAGCGGCATGAATGGGAGGTATCAGGTGCTGCTGAGACATGAACCATGTGCACACAGTACGTTACGTCCTCTCCTTTTTTTGGAATACATTTCCTGTGCTGCAGCGTGTTTCAGTGATGAAAATGAATTTGCACTGGCTGTTTTCATACATCAGGGTAGGCACTGCTCGTATTTAAAGAGACTGGCTATGCTCTCTTCACAGCTCTCATCTCCTTTTTGTTACTGAAATGCACAAACAAGTACTGATGGGTAAAACTGCATGACTCAAAAACCGTATCGTGAAAACAAATACGGAATATGCCGGTAGCTTTGCAGGTTCTGAGAGGACAAAAAGTGAAGAGTGAAAAGCTCCAAAAAACGGTGCTTGTCCCTGTTGTCAGCCCAACGGCATGTGTTGCAGTCTGGTGTATCTTCAATGTATGCAGCCTCCTGGCCCTCCGTGGGGCAATGCCCTACCACTGCTTCACGGATAAGAGACTGAGGAGATAGTGGCTTCTGTTCACACTGTCCAGTTGTGTTTTGGCTTCTGCACTGGCTGTTCGCTTGGAGCGAGCCTGGTCTTCCTCCAAGCAGGAAACAGGGCTGCAGGAAACCACAGAATCATAGAATGGTTTGGATTGGAAGGGACCTTAAAGATCATCCAGTTCCAACCCCCCTGCCATGGGCAGGGACACCTTCCACTACACCAGGTTGCTCAAAGCCTCATCCAACCTGGCCTTGAACACTGCCAGGGATGGGGCAGCCACTGCTTCTCTGGGCAGCCTGTTCCAGTGCCTCACCACCCTCTGAGTGAAAAATTTCTTCCATAGATCTCATCTGAATCTCCCCTCTTTCAGTTTAAATCCATTGCCCCGTGTCCTGTCACTACATGCCCTTGTCCAAAGCCCCTCTCCAGCTTTCTTGTAGCCCCTTTAGGTACTGTGAGGCTGCTGGAAGGTCTCCCTTACCATCCTGTGCTTGAGCTCTGCCCTGGCAGGCAGTGGGGTTGGAGCTGATTCCAACAGCTGGCTCTGCTGACTCAAGCTCACCCTCTAGCACATGAAGGCAGCATCTATGTTGTCTCAGTGGAGAGCCCCAATTTTTTTTATGCTTTTAAATCATCTGACTCACTAGACCCGCAGGAAAGATGCGAGTAGAGGTACAGATTCTATGGGCACAGACAGTGCACCCCCACGCTGCTTCTGCTGCAGCTCTGGCTGTGTGACGTGCCTGCCTTGCTCTGGTTTGGGTGCAGGATGTGTGCGCAGCTCGGCACACGGCTCCTGCCTGAGACCTGGCAAAACTCACTGAAACACACGGACCCTTCCCTGGGGCTGCGCAGCCCCATCTTGTAGAAGAACCAAAAGAAAGGTTGCTGGGCTGCCCTTCCTCCCAGAAACAGCAGAGATGTTGTGTTCAAACCACTCGCTTTCCCACTGTACCTGTATGTCCAGGAGAGCGTCCTGCTCAGTCTGCACCTATCCAGGGGTGGATGCTGGTCTCAGTCTGTCTCATGCAAGTTGCTTCTGTTGGTTGGGCTGGTGGCAGCTAAGCCACAATACAAAGGGATTTCTAGAGGTGAAGCTGGATGCAGGTTTCTCTGCTTGTGTTACCAGCTCATGGCTGTGTCGTGCTGTAATTTGTGTGTAAAGTGTCTATTTGTGTCTATGCCAATATAGCAATCAGTGGTAAAGATAAACAGATAGCCAAATGGTTAAGCTTTTTCCTCTGGACAGGGAGAGTTGTGCTCCATTCCCCGTTTCATACTCTCAACCCATCTTAGGTGACCTTCAGCAAATTGCTTCTAGCCTGGGTTTCCAGACCTGGTTAGGTTTCAAGCGGGTTTTCATGGGTGCGTGAGAACGGCCGCATTTAGTGGGGCATCGCACGGCTCCCAGCACCTGCATGCCCAGGTACTGGGAAACTTCCAAAAAACCCTTCGTCTTTAACCCCTGCGTGCCTGCTTTGGGAAGCAGGAGTGCAGCACGGCTGTGGCACAGGCAGCTGCTCCGCAGGCAGGACTGGGATGTGCTCAGACACAAGAGGTTAAAGACAAACAGCAGATAAATCCCCTTTTTTACACTGATTTAGATCTCTCTTATGCAGCCGCTGTAGGAGTTTTATACTTTCATGTTCTTCAGGTTAAATCTCCCTGAATGCTTCCAAAACCTTTAATTAAAACAGGAAAGAAGCTTTTTCATTTGAAAGAACCCATTATGTTTCTGGGGCGATTTTGCAAGATATTTCCCTGCGTATTTCCACAGCCTAACAAAATCCTGGGTTTTAGGATTTTTAGGATCTACCTCAACGTGTGACGTGGAGGTAGACATGGCTCTGAGTCATCTAGGAACCAGTAAACATCAAATACCAGAAGAAAATGTTTCCTGAAAAAGAAACATAGAAATGATGGTTTAAGATCTTTTCATATAAATATACGTGTGTGTGTTTTACTCTGAATACAGCTTGATTTCACCTCAGTTAGTACCACTGTAACAAACAGAACACGATTGCTTAAAGGTGCATGTTTAGCATGTGAATTCTTGGCTTAAAACATGAATCTTCATTCAGGTACAACTGTGACATTGTGATAAGGAAAAATTGTGGAATTCTGGTGTTTGTTTTTTTTTTTTGTCTTGGCTATATTAAAAAAATTGTTCTTGTAAAATGAAACGAGAAAATACTTTAACAAGATAGATTGTCTCTTGTGATGTTATGTTATAACATCATGTTATGTTCCTACATGATTTTTAAAGTTTAGTAATTTCCTTTAAAAGGAAGTATTTTAATTCTGAAATCAAGATAAGACATTGGAATCAAGTTTTAGAAAAACTTTCTGTGGTTGCAGCTGAACACTGGAACAGGTTGGCCAGAGAGGTGGTGGATGCTCCATCCCTGGAGACGTTCAAGGCCAGGTTGGACGAGGCCCTGAGCAACCTGATCTAGTTGGAGATATCCCTGTTCCTTGCAGGGAGGTTGGACTGGATGACCTTTGAAGGTCCCTTCCAGCCCTAACCGTTCTATGATTCTCTGATTCTTTTGCAATGATACACTCGTCTGTCCGTGGTCCGGTAGCACCGAGCCTGTGTCACAGGCAGTGTGACCTCAGTGAAGCACCAGGAATATATTTGATTTTTAGCGTGTTCTTTACCTTACTCTTCAGCTGGTACCACTCACAGGCGCAGGGGCAGCACCTGCTTAAAAGCAGAACTTGGTCACACGCTTTGCTGATGCTGGACTATATACTTAACTGTTGAATATCATGTTTTTCATTGCTAAGGCACAGTCTAGGTGATTTATTTTGTATAACAGTTTAGTTAGACAGAAGGCTTCAAAGCCTTCCTGTTTCTTTCCTCTTGAAACTCTTGGGATGCACTGGTGACCGGTTTTGGAAAGAAACCTTTCTCTGTCCAGGCTTCAGGAGAAGCACAACAGAAGGCCTTGAAATCTTGGAATCCTTAAAGCAGTTAGGAAGTGTTTATGCACAAAATGCTTTTCCCACCCTACTCTTATGTGATGTTGTGTGAACGGGAAAAACTGTGCGTGGCTCTTCCTGGTCCCCAGTGGGTGACATTGGCCACCCCCGTGGTTATTTCGCTCTCTTATCTGTGCTTAAAATCGGAATGTTTCGGTGACTGGGTTTCAAGTTTCTCATTGAAGCAAACTGAAAATGGTAAAAGGAAAAAGGCGAATGTGTTAGTGTGCAGAACTGATGTGTAGTGTCGTGACAGGACACGGGGCAATGGCTTTAAACTGACAGAGGGGAGATTCAGATCAGATCTAAGGAAGACATTTTTTACATTGAAGGTGGTGAGGCACTGGACCAGGTTGCCCAGAGAAGTTGTGGCTGCCCCATCCCTGGCAGTGTTCAAGGCCAGGCTGGATGAGGCTTTGAGCAACCTGGTGTAGTGGAGGGTGTCCCTGCCCATGGCAGGGGGTTGGAACTAGATGATCCTTAAGGTCCCTTCCAACCCAAACCGTTCCATGGTTCTGTATGTGCATGAAGAGAACTGGGTGGAGGAGGCTGTTTTGATATTTTTTTGGCAGATAAAAGACATCACTCAGGTTTAGGCTTTCTCCTTTGCATATGGTTGTTATTTTTCAGCCCTGCCAGTCCTTCCTGACGTTTAGAAGCCATTTTAATTTAGATGGAGTTTGGACGTCTGCGGCGTGTGGCGCGTTGCCATAGTGGGGACCATGATTAGTCACGTCTTCCTGTGCTTGCGAAGGAGATGCCCAGGAAGGCTGGAAAGCAGTTTTGCTCTGTGTTTGAAAGCATGAAGACCTTCCCCAAGCTGAATTTGCCTTTGTGCATAGATGGGACAGGCTAAACATTGTTTTCTCCATAGTCTGCCAATGTTGTTGTCTTCTGCCCTCTGGCTGCTGCCAGGATGTGCTCTCCCTTGGGTTGAAACACCCTATCCTTTCATTATTAGAGAAAAAGCAGAGCTAGGTGGAAGTAAATCTCTATTCCTGCATCTAGGATCACACAAAACTGAAGCATCATACCACTGCCACAGTCTTTGCAATGGTGAGGAAGATGAGTGCTGGGCAATGCTCTGCATTCTGCTGGAGAAAAGCAGCGTGTTTTTTATTGATCTCTAGCTGGCAAACAACATCTGCCTCGCTTGCACAGGGTAAATTTTTCAGCCTGATAGTCACAAGCATTGGTAACAGAGAAGAGGCTGAGAGCTTGGGGAAGCCAGTGTCAACCCTGGGCTTTTGTAAAGCAGAGAAGAGGGAGTGGGGTTGTTTGCATTCTGGTTTTGTCTATGGCCTGCTGAGAGGTGAGAATGCATGTACACACAAATCCACAAAACACAGCTGAGAGTCTCCTGTTGCTCCAAACAATGTACAATCTGAAAGCGAGCGAAAGAGCAAACAAGGGAAGAAAAACAGTTATCTGTCCCATTCAGTGTCTGCTGCTGCCACGTCTCCAAAGGCAAGAATTTGGAAAGAGATTTGAGTGATGCTCGGAGCTCTCTTAGTGCTGCAAATAGG